AGGACGGGCCACAGTCACACCCCTCCCCATGAATGCACAGCTCTACCTGGAGGGAGTGTGGAGGATCTCCTGCTGCAGATCTGAACACACTACGGTAAGGGGGGGGGGGATGTGGAGCTTCAGGTTCACTGGATGTATTGACTGCCACACTAATTAATTTTATACAGATTATTCTACTCACGTTTTAGTTGAGGATCAACTTTAAGTCTAAAACCAGGACCCTGAATCAGGCTTAGAGAAGTGATCAGGTTCTGAAGTTGGTTTCTAAGGTACAGATAGTTTTTGTTTGTGTAATTAAAAAAGTATGGTGAAGGTAAGAAAAGCTCAAATGTGATTCTGGCCTGAAACTGCAGCCTCCTTAGACTGAGACTTGGGAATGCGGATACGTTTCTAGTGAGCAGTTGAATCAATGAGAAGTGATCACACATGCAAATATAATCTGAGGTCGCCCGAACACGCCACAACACATGAAGATAGTGACTGAGCCAGACGCTACTCATTTATGCCAGGAAGAGGAGGAGGAGATTGGACAGATACGAAGGCTTGTTTTGGCGCTTCCTGGATCACACTGCTCGTACTTCAACTACAGGTTTTTGTCCTATCAGTGTTTTTAGAGAGAGATCATGTCCTCGGGTTCCACTTCACTTCTGCACTCTGTAAAAGATAACCTGCGTCAGTTTGTTGTCAGTGCAGAGCTGGAGCAAGGCCAGAGAGCTGTTCTGAACTTAAAAAGGAATTGGAGATGAAAATGCTTTCACCGAAGTAAAAGATCCAAATTCTACTTTCACCACCAGTATCCTCATTAGAGCAGCACAGTAAAGGCAGACTGATTTGTTCCACAAGACCCTGTGGGTAATGCAATCTTTAATAAAGGTTTGTTTAAAGTGTGGGCTTGTGCTATAGATGTGGGCTTTTACCCTGACCTCTGACTTGCAGGCAGCAGATTATTCAAAGGTGAGAAATGTCCTCACCCTCCCAGAGTGAGGTCACTGTGACTTGTGGTCCACTGCCTCACTCGTCTCTCAGACTGCAGCAGCTCCAGGTGACCTCAGGTTCTGGTATTTAATGAGATGATTTCCTGTGAGTCACAGCTCTGCAGACGCATGGCTTTCAGTGGAGCAGCTGTTAATGTGGGATGACGGCACTCAGTAAACTCCACTGCAGGAAGCCACATCTTCATTACTCCCCATGAGCAGGCTGAGAGGAACCACAGCCCCTCCAGGCTGAACCCGCAGAGACCTGAGTGAGAGCATGTGGCAGCTTTAGAGCAAATACACAACAGAGCTCATGGCTGCTGTGAGCAGCTCTGTCACAGTGACATCCGGTCACAGGGTCCACAAACACTGGACCGCACAGACCGAGCTAACGACCAGTTAATTAGTTAATGACCTCCTGGTCCAGAGCTTCCTCCTCCTGCAGCTAATGGAGCATCGAGCTAACACACAACCAGCAGCGGCCCCGCTTTCCTGCTACAGTGTCTCCTCTGGGATGTCAGGAGCTGCTGGGGGTCATGTTAGTTAGAGGATGTTCATGTGCCGTTCTTAACTAATCAGATAAAATCCACCTCAGCAGAGATGGTTTACTTCAGAGAACAAATAATACACACACAGAGTCTTAAAACTGAAGAGAATGTGTGCAGGCCTGTTTCTAAAGGTGGACTCGAGACAAACTGTGAATAAATCACACTTTTGTGGACAGTGGACTTGTGCTAAGCTATGCTAAACATGTCCTGGGCCTGTCTCTCTATCCAACAGAGACTCAGGAGAAGGTCACATCTGGAAGTCTCCCATTTAGAACACAGGAAACATGTCAGCGGCAGACCGACTGCCTCTACTGCACAGTATTGGTGGCCTCACGTCCACTTGTTGTTTCAGGTTTGAGACACTTTCACTGATGCACTTGATACTAAAATGAATCTGTCTGTGGTGTCAGGCTGTGACGGCAGCTGGAGATTACGTGAACATGAAGAGGTCGCCTCAGGACATCAGACCAGCAGCTCACAGCGCCGCCACCCGAACCAGCCAGCCGCCGTCTGGTGCAGCTGCCTTCTTCATCAGGTCAGTGAACGCAGCACACCTTAGAAAGCCCCACCCTTTGTCCCCTGGCCATTATAATAGTAGTAATGAGAACAATTTATACAGCACATTTCAGAACAGTGTCACTGAAGAAAAGTAGTTTAAAACAAAACTTTGCCACCTTTAGATAAAGACCCAGCAAAATCCTGTACAATAAATAAAGCACATAATTGTAACTGGAAAACTGAAACACTGGGACAACGCTAATGGAAAAACAGGATATTGGAGGTTCTGCAGCCTCAGGTCAGTCTGGACAGGTACAGTCAGTGTCATATCATAACACCTGTGTGGGTGGAACACAGTCACACTGATTGTGAGAAAAAAGACTGAACACCTAGTGTTAAGGTCATGTCGACTCCTGGCTGGTGCTTCCAGATGCTGCTCCTCCAGCAGCAGCAGCTCCACCATCTTCAAACACCTGAACCCAGCTGAATGCCTTCAGACAACGCTCAGGGTCGGTATTACCCAGCATTCACTTCAAAGGCTTCCCAGCATGCATCTGTGAGAGGATGGTGAGGGCTGAGGGGAGCGAGCACAGAGGCACTCTGCTTTTATCTGAAGATCAGAGAGGCTCAATTAGTTTGCAGCCGCCTGCATGTACGCACACACACGCAGACAAGCCCACAGCTGCGCTCATCCTGCTTCATCCTCCTGTCAGTCTTAATATGGCCAGGTGGTTCAGTGTGACGAGCTGGGTGGGGGTCTTTTGGCACAGGCCAGGATGGTGGATGCGTAGGTACTTGAGTAGAAAATTCGGGTTACATAAGCATAAGTTGTGCACACTGGGGGCCCATTGGGCTGGAATCAAATTCCTTGTATTTTTGATAATAGTTGGCATTGAAGTTTATGCTAAGTCGACTGGCAGAAAATCTTTTCCTTCAGAACCTTTCATGTTTCCAGCTTCTCAAAAGTGACAATTCACATCTTTTAAATTAGTTTTAAATAAATAAATAATACTGAAATTTGACAGTTGGATAAAGCAAAACAAGCTCAAAGATTCCACTTGATAACTGTGGCATTTTTTATTAACGAAAATCATGAGCAGATCATGAAAATGAGCTGCAGCTTTATATAAAATAAAGATGAGCTACACCTCAACTAACAGCTGTGAAGTGTTGCTTAAACATTAATGCATCAATAATAACCTGGTGTTTCAGTCACAGGGAACCTCTGTCTGTGTTAAGTACCTTTAATACTGCAAGTACATTTTCCTGACTGTACCTTTTCTGTAGTAGCAGTGCAGGACTTGACTTATGACACAGTATTTTTACAGTGTGGTCCAGGAAAGCCCCAGACACGGTTGGGCAGACAACGTTTCAGTTTGCGTGGCCTTCATCAGGACAAATGCATACCCTTCTGTCTAAATCAAATACTATGGAAATCAAGCTGGCAATCAGTGTCACCTTCATAAATTCATCTGCACTGACAAACCGAACAGAGCGCGGCCTCCAGCCCTACACCAGGAGGTGTTTCAGCTCCCAGTGCCACAGTAATGGAGGGAGGCTGCCTCAGGTGTCAGTGAGCTGGAGACTGACACGTCTGCACCAATGGAGCCTCTGGTCGCTGTGGGTCACTGCTGGTCCAGGGGGGTTAGATGATTTCACTTTGTCTCTGTCTGGAAGCTGCTGAGCTTCAGTTGGAATTATTAGTGACAAAGTGCCCCCCCATCTGATATGTATGCATTAACTGCTGCATGCAATTCATGGTACAGAGAGCACAGAGGACGTAAACGAGGACAGACCCCTGTGAAGAGACGGAGCAAAAGATCCCAGTGTTTTCACTTCACAGACCTTCTGCTAGGTTTGATCCTCCCTCCTGCTACAGAACAGAGAGAGCCCACCCAGCCTGCCCCACCTTAAATAATGGAAATACTGAAACATGAAACGGAGGCTCCCCAGAACAGCACTCAGCCCACATTCAGCAGCAAAGTCGTCCATAATTCAGAGGGTGAGGAGAGACGATTGCTCGCTGTAGGGACATGAAACGTCTCCACGAACACATCAAGATGTTCTGATGGGCATCCGGAGCTGCAGGTCAGAGGTCAGGGATACAGCAGCTATCAGGTCCAGCTGAATGTGGTGACTTGTGGGACATGACTGGGCTCTCAGGGAAAAGAGCTGTTTATTTTTTTTGTTTGTTTTGTTTTGTTTTTTTTGGAGGTGCACCAGATGTTGGTATTTTGGCATCTGGCAGCATCTAGGTTGGAGGAGAGGCAGACCCAGGGAAAAGAGCTGTTTATTTTTTTTGTTTGAGGAACACCAGGTTATCAGCTGGACTGGACCGGGTTCAAGGCCAGTCATTCAGCAGAATTCAAACTGGTGCCGGACTGAGGCAGTCATACAAACTCTGACAGGTTTTGATGATCTGTTCTGATCATTGTTGTACCAGTGAAACACGCCCCCGGGGATGTCTAGATACCGTACGTTCAGGGCCACGATGCGTCTCTGAAAAGGACTATAAAAGGTGATTTTAATAAACCAGATGAGCAGCAGGGTCGGCCAGACCTCTTATCTTACGGTGCTGACACCGGGTTCTGACCCACAGATCTCTGCAGTGAGTCCGCTCTCTCGGGCAGTGCTGCTGCGTAACACACTCCTGAGGACTGGTTTCAGGAGGTGGAGGGTGGGGGGCAGAGTCTAAGTTTAGAGTTGCAGACAGCCTGTTCTCTGGCTGATAATTAGCAGGAAGCTAAAACTGGCTGGTGCAGAGGTGGTGACAAGCTAACGACTGCCCAAGCTAATGAGGAATAATCAAGACTCTGTCATCCTCTGATGGGATTCATTTTCTACTAAACCACAACTTAATGTGGAGATTTTAATCCCAGCTCACGTCTTTCTCCTGTCCTCCTCTGACCAGTTCACTCTCTGCTCAAACCTTAGCTTCGGTCCAATCAGAGCAGCTTCCCTGACATCACAGACTCGGTTTTGACCCAGAATTTCCACAGTGGCTCTGCAGGTCGACATTTGTTCTCATTACCCGGACTGTTGGCATCCACAGCTTCACTTCCTGCCACGCTGAAAGATAACGCCATTACCTTCCCCCTGAGGAACAAACTAAAGAGACGGTGGTGGTGTTTTTTGCTGCAGATTCTGTCGCACGCTCAGGCTGTGTCTGGGGTTTAAATCTCCATCTGTAGCAGGGAGCAATCATTTCCAGGCTCGAGTCTTTAGGTTGATTCAAATGTTTAGTTGTACAAGAAATGTTCATTCTCACATATTTTATTCATAAAATTATTGCTTTCATAACATGTAAATGTAGATCAGAGCACAGATGAACCACATTCATTTAACACGAGGGGCACACTTGATGACTGGCTGAACTCAGAGGAGACAGGCTATTCGTTACAGATGGAGGGTCAGAAGGCATCAGACAGGAGAGAGGAGCTCAAGCCCGGTGTGAAACACTGTATGTCGTCACTGAGTGTTTTAACCCACGATCTCTTCCTGACCCTGACCACACCGTTGGCGACACACTCAACAACTGTCCCTAACATCCGGAAGTCCTGGCAGCAGACAGACCCCGGTAAGATCACACCACGTGTCCTGGTACCAAAACTAATACGGATTCAACCAACTGGCACTGTTTCCAGTGCTGACAGTGACAACAGAGAAGAGAAGGCTCAAAGTCTGGGTCAGATCCCTGATGGAGAGGTGCCAACAGCATGGACCGTAAAGTCTCCAGCAGGAAGTGGACTTTATCAGTCCATTTTACTCACTGTCCTTCAGCCTTCACCTGTTTGTGTTGTTTAGCTAGTACATAAAAGTGGACTGTTGGCATCCACAGCTTCACTTCCTGCCACGCTGAAAGATAACGCCATTACCTTCCCCCTGAGGAACAAACTAAAGAGACGGTGGTGGTGTTTTCTGCTGCAGATTCTGTCGCACGCTCAGGCTGTGTCTGAGGTTTAAATCTCCATCTGTAGCAGGGAGCAATCATTTCCAGGCTCGAGTCTTTAGGTTGATTCAAATGTTTAGTTGTACAAGAAATGTTCATTCTCACATATTTTATTCATAAAATTATTGCTTTCATAACATGTAAATGTAGATCAGAGCACAGATGAACCACATTCATTTAACACGAGGGGCACACTTGATGACTGGCTGAACTCAGAGGAGACAGGCTATTCGTTACAGATGGAGGGTCAGAAGGCATCAGACAGGAGAGAGGAGCTCAAGCCCGGTGTGAAACACTGTATGTCGTCACTGAGTGTTTTAACCCACCATCTCTTCCTGACCCTGACCACACCGTTGGCGACACACTCAACAACTGTCCCTAACATCCGGAAGTCCTGGCAGCAGACAGACCCCGGTAAGATCACACCGCGTGTCCTGGTACCAAAACTAATACGGATTCAACCAACTGGCACTGTTTCCAGTGCTGACAGTGACAACAGAGAAGAGAAGGCTCAAAGTCTGGGTCAGATCCCTGATGGAGAGGTGCCAACAGCATGGACCGTAAAGTCTCCAGCAGGAAGTGAACTTTATCAGTCCATTTTCCTCACTGTCCTTCAGCCTTCACCTGTTTGTGTTTAGCTAGTACATAAAAGTCTTTCTGGTGCTGAATGTCCCTGAAGACTCCAGTCACACCTCCATGAATTTATCTGCCAACTGACCCAGACTGGGGCAAACTCGGCTCGACTGGGTCCCGTCACTCATCACAACCAAATCCTGCTCGTAATCAGCTTGACGGCCGTTACGTGCTCCCCCCACCTTAAGTCAGCAGAGACTGACCACAGGCTATTTTTCTTCATTATAAGGTTCATTTCTACTGTTTGCTCTTAATCAACTGGTTCTGTCAGCAAATCTGTGCTGGGTGTCGCTGGTCGAGACCTGCAGGTTCACACACACACACACACACACACACTACTGTCTTTGAAGTCCTGCAGTGGGGGTGTCTGTCATCTCATGCACTATTCATACAGCATGTCAGGTGTGTGTGTGAGAGAGAGACAGGAATGAAGGGATCAAGTGGGGCGATCAACT